GATACTTTTCAAACTTACAGACTGGACGGCTCATTCCGTGCCTGCTGTCCTTCAAACAATCTCAGCCATCAACTAGTATTTCACTGTTAAAACAACTTCCTTGGCAGTAGTTTCACGCCAGAAAATGAAGTCAGAATCAAGCACAGAGAAAGTATTCTCTCTGTTGATATACTGAGTTATGAGTTAATCAGCTTAGGAACCATTCATCTTTCCTAATACACTGAATTTGAGTTTCCCAACTGCCCTCGTCAAAATATATTTTACTGCTTGATGTATTTATTAACTCTGCCTGCACTGCATAGGTAAAAACACCAAATCATGCTTTTTCTCCTCCCTCAGCAGAGAAACTGAGAGTCTAATACTGCAACGAGACCTCTGAAGTTGGAGAAGAGAGTGGGATTTCATCCAGTTCTGGTTTTATCCAATCTAGTCAGAGACGCTTGGCATATATTATCTTTTCCTCCAATCTTCTACTCAATCCACCAAAGCCTAATACTTGACAAGTGTATCAATTATTATCTACTACAGACAAAAGAAAAAATAAGTGGAATCATTTCAAAAGAAGTTTTGCGTACGTACTTATCAAAAGTTACCTAGCAGAAGTGTTCTAAAATTTACCTCTGACATTTCAACCACTGCTCCAACAATTCAATTGCAGGAGGCATAACCAAAAGCGTATTTAAATAACTAAGATTTCTTTGTCTCTCTGACGTTGCAAAAACAGCATTAGACACATTTATGTCAGAGCCTGAACAAAGATCTTTATCTCAAAGAAAAAGATAGATCTATTCATTTGTCACGTCTACTTTCATGGCACACCGTTACACCTCACAGTCCTTCCTATCTATTATTGCCTTTTATCTTTGCAATAAAAAAAGAAAAACCCAAACCCAAAACTTTGAGTCTTTTGGTTCAAACTCTATTTGTTCCAAAAATATAATATCATGCTGTTCCCCATTTGTTATAAACGTATAAAATATTTTCACTTAAGATCATTTTAGTTTAACACGTTTTAATGATCCGTAGACCACAAAGAATCCTTCTATTCTTTTCCTTCTAGCAACATTAAGAAACACGGCTCTGTAAAGTCAACATTTGCAACTATAGGTTTAAACCACATACCACGCTTTGAACCACCTCACAATTACAGAGCCTAAGTAAAATTTTAGAATAGTTTGTAGTTTAAAAAGCAGTTATAAACCATGTGTTTTGAATTAGCTGGTGAGTGTGTCAGCAGTGACATTTACCATACCTTATAATAAGCTCTCCTTTGATTTTTAGGTTTTCATGGAGGAAGACGACATTTTCCTACCACAACAAACACAGAAATATTTACTGGAGTTCTCTTTTAGCTAAGACTTAAATATAGAGGCAATTTGAAATCGAAACGCCACCCACACCTAGCTCAGTAAGAAGGCTCTGCTTTTTTATAGCATGGCTTTTTCAGCCACATAGCTCCAGATGGCCAGATCTGTCACAAAGTCCTAGACCAAAAATTCTAACAAAGGGAAACAGCAAATAGGCCTCCAAGGGGCATTTCCAAGGGGCTCCAGCAATTTTCAGC